GCTTGTAGGGGGGGAATGCAGTTCAGTCCACACCAGCCTCTAAAATTGCTAAGATAATTGTTCTCTATGAAGTCTTGAAATTGGTTTCAAAAAGATAATAATTGTATTAGACTTTCAACATATAGCATTTAGCTACAAATTTTTTAGTGTTTTTAGATAGAGAAATTTACTCGAAAGTCCCTGGACCCAATTTTATTTCCACTGTAATTCCTACTTTTATTTATATAGCGATTATAGAAATTGGTATTACTTAGAAAACGGCATGTGTTAGGTCATCAGGAAAGTCGTAACATACCCTTCTATGGTTTTCTACGCACAGATGCATCATAGCATTGCCTACACTTAGAACTACTGCCTGCTTCATTTAGATTTTATCAGCATTCTAGTTGTTCTGCTTAAAGAAAGGAAGAATGAGTATTTAAATGAGTATTTGAAAGAACGAATATTTCGAAACATTGAGAAATGGTCATTTCCTTGCTTCCCCACCCCTCTTTGTTGGCATTGGGGTGCAAACTTTGTTTTAAAGTTGACTGAGTCATGACTGGACTACTAATGTAGTAGTGTCATTCATTTGCTTTTTGAAAATGTTAGAATAAAAGCTCTCAATTTAATTAATGAATGGTATGCCAGTTAGTAATGATATAAGAATAGAACTTTAAACTACAGCTTGTGTAATTTCCCCTTAAATGAGAGAAAAAAAATTCAGTCAGCCAACTGACATTCCATCTTGTGTCACTGTTCATTTATGCAGTAAACAGGTATTTCCAGAGTTCATTCTGTGCCAGGAGACGCACTAGGTGCTACGTCAGTCACGTTCTCTGCCCTCAACAGCTTTGAATCTAGCTCAGCAACAAATGAGCAGATGCATGTAAAACAGTGTCATCTTTGGAGAAGTGAGTTGTCTCTTGGGAATACAAGGTCAGTACCCAGTCGTGAAGTCAGGGAGATTTCTCATGGTGATAGGACAGGTTAAAATTGTAATGCACTGTGTAAGAGAGTTCTGTTCATAATTACCAAAGGAAGGTGCATTTTCATCGACCTTGTATGTGCTCAAGGGAAAGCGACTTTTCAGATATGTTTAATGGAGGTTGAAGGGAAAGGCCGTGTTTGGGGGCCAGGTGATGATAGCAGCAGTGGCACAGTGGACCGAGCTGAGAGTGTTCTGAGTCTGCATCCCAGCCCTCCTGAGCATGCCAGGGGATGTGCTTGTGATCGAGGCTGGCTGAAGCTGGGCATGGCCATGGCACAAAGACCCTGTTGGGGGCGTTTCTCTCTCTCTTTCTCTCTCACAGAAGAAATAAGTAAACTTTAAAAGAGAGGTCATATTTAATTAGAGGATCATCTAATTTCCTTTTGAGTTTAATTGAAATTTTGCTGTATTGTTGATAAAGATATTGAACATAGTCGATTAACGTTAAGGTCAAGGTAGATTATCCTGAAATAGCTCTAGAAGTGAAAAGCAGTAACATGGGGCCAGATGGGGTACAGCAGTGAAATGCAGCATCCTGTCACTCTCATCTGGAAAGGTTCCCTGCCGAGGTTCAGAGACCTCCCTGAGCACACAGACGCACGTGTGCCCTTGAGCCAGGACTGGCTGATGACCAGGGGTGGGTAGGGCTGCCAGGACTCTCTTGAGAATGTTTGCCCTCTCTCTCCTCTCCTCTTTTATCTCTCAGTCTCTCTGTACGTGGATCGCTCTCTCGTGGAAAAAAGAAAGAAACTTTTAAAAAGTGAAAAGCTTTCAAAGAGTGGTTGAAGGAACTTCTTTTATAGATTTCTGCCATAGGGACCACTGCTGGAGAGAGGCTGAGAGAGAGGGAAAATGAGAAGTCACCCAGGGGATGGTCACACCATCCCTTCTTCGCCATCTCCCAGGATTTGGGGGAAAGGAGATTGTGGCGTGGCCACATGACACTCACCCGACGTGTTTCTCAGGCGGCCAGGTCAGGAGGCCAGTTGCAGAGTTGGTCGTCTGGGAATCCAGCACCTTTACCACCATGTCACCTGCTGGTCTAGGGGTATTCTCAGCCTCCATCTTTTCTAATGAAATAGCCCTCAGTCCTTCCCCCTCCCCAAAACTATGGGATTAGATTATAATTTGGATTTTGTCACTATTAACTTATTGACAGTTTGTTCTTTTCTGTAAACTGCGTATCTTTTGCCTGTTTTGTACATCATTCTTTATCTCAGAGACATTTTGCTTTTGACCACCTGCTAACCTGGTCCCTGTGTAGGAGAGAGTAGTAAGGTATTTCAGTGTCTTCCAGTCAGCCAAGGAGGACCACCTCTCCTGCTGTCACAGAGTAAGACTTCCCAGTGATGTGGAGTTCAATTTTCTGAAATACTCATTATCTGTATTGCTCCTAATGATTCAGAGAATTATGCTTTCATGGAAAGTTTTTGTATTTTGTGTTTATTAATCTTTGAATCATTTATAAGTTTAAGTAATTTGATATTGTTTTCTTAATTGTTATGCTTTTTTCCTCTTCTGGAACAGGATGATGCTGACTACAGATTATTTCAGAAAACGCTCAAATTGTGTCGTTTCTTTGCCAACTCCCTTTTGCACTACACTAAGGTAAGACCTGGTTTTTAATAATGAGTAAGTGTAAAGCCTGCAGTAAATTGTAAATTATCCCATTTTTATCATTCTTACCAGCAACAGTCATTTGAAGTTACTTGTCGAGTATATTTTGTAGAGGATTTTTCTGTGGTTTAATGTTAAATATCAACCATTTGTTATATCCTTTAAGTTGCTACCATCGTCCTTGTTATTGTTCTCTAGGGCAAAAAATTACTGCCATAAACAAACAACTTCTTTTTGTAGGCATACAAAAGTTTCCAAAGACAGAGTCAATTTATGAATTACTTCTACCGTATTTCCAAATTAGGTTGTTGTGGTTTCAGTGCTCAAGTCCTTAATACTGTGACATAATTCTAAAGAGACCTGCCTATTAGGAGTGATAGTTGCAGGTACATGAATAGAACAGACAAGCCGCCAGGCAGGGTGCTTAGAGGCACAGAACAGGCCTGCCCACCTTCCAAACTGTGAGAGAAATTACTGGGTTGTTGGGAAAGTCATGACCCTTTTTTATTAGAAAAACAGAGAAATACATCTTGACTTTCCCGATGACCTAATATTTTAATAGGCGTTAGTGGTTTTGTTTGTTTGTTTTATTTAGAGGGAGATTTTTGCTATAGGGAGTATGTGTTCACAGAGGAGACAGACAGGAAATGAGAATTCACTCCCCGGGGGGATGGCCATGCCACAATCCCCTTTCTTCCATTATCCTCTTGGGATTTTGAGCATGCACGCAGACGCATCTGGTGTGAATTTTAAGCCACCAGGTCCGGGACTTGAACCACAGTCTACTACATGGAAGTCTTGCAGTGTAACCATTACGCCATCTGCTGGTCCCGGTGTTAGTGGTTTTTGAAAGCTGTTGTCTGTGTTGAACTTGTCCCCTTCTTTTTGAAGAAGGACAAGGATTTCCAATGACTGTTTTTCACCGTCTGGTTTCCATGGTTGACACACTGGCCCACAGTACTCTGCCATCCTGTTCAAAACATCAGCCAAACTGGTCCTTCATAGTAGCTGCTGCTCACACTGGGCTCCTGTAGCCGGAGGGCATCTGTTCTGGCTGCACAGACACATGTGGGAGTGACATTTGGGAAGTGCTTCCCATCTGATATT